ACTCTCTCTCTCTCTCTCTCTCTCTCTCTCTCTCTCTCTCTATTCATTTACTTTTCATTTAGTTCAACTTAATATGGAGAGTTTCATGATGGAGTTTTCATTCATTCAGTCAGTCAACGAAAAGAAGAAGAAGAAGAAAAAAAAATTCTGAAATAAAGTGAACTTTCTCTTTTCCATCATCATCATCATCATCATCATTTTTTTTTGGTCCTGAAAATGGAAAAGAATCTTTCGGGAAAATTTTTCTTCGTCATAAGGTTTGTTTTATCTTTGAAATTTTGGAAACAGAAAACGAAAGTAGTGAAGAACTTGATAAAGTTTGAAATGTTTTGCTTTTCAAAACGAAAATTCGTGGATGGAAAAATGGATTCAACAACGAAAATATTGCCCATCATCAGAATATTATCGATCTATCTTTTTTTTGGAAACGAACGAAGAACACAGCCAATGATGAAAAAGAAAATTCGGGTTTTTCACTTGGTTGTTGGAATATTTTTCGGTTTCTGTTTGAAACAAACTCAAATTCAGGCAACAAAAAAAACCAAAAACGTTAATGTTTAAACACGTAGTAGTTTTTCTCTCTTTCTGGTGCAACGATGATGATGATGGTGGCTGCTTTTCATTCATTTCGTAATCCAGTTATCGTCATCATCATCAACAACAAAAGCAACAAAAAAATCATTTTTTTCCAGAAAAAATCATTTTTCTTTTTGCTGTTGTTTCGTCGGGCTATTGACGGGAGAGAGAGAGAGAGAGAGAGAGAGAGAGAGAGAGAGAGAGAGAGAAAATGGACGCAATCTTTGACTAAATATTGCGTCTTAATAAAANTTTATTATGAAATACGGCGTATTGGATATCGATTTTAATCAAGAACGTATTTACGACGTATGGATTTTATCAATCAATGCAGAGTCCGACGATTGGAAGTTAATTATAGATACGGAAGCGGACGCATTGAAGTTTTTATTTAAATTAAACATAACGTATCGCCCCCTGGAAGCTGTTTCAGAAAGGGGGGAGGAAATGGTTAAAAAATAAGCAGCTGACAGGGTTTGTCAGCAATCAGATGGCACGATACATGCGTAGTGCAACATCTTAGAAATGCCGCCAAAATTATGGGGTATAAAAGTCAGCAAAATATCACACACCACAGCGTTCACATCATCGTTTTAGCATCGTTTAGAGCGATCATCATCGAGAGACGCATCATCTAAAAAAGTCGCATCGATTATCGTCATAAAATAACGTCGTCAACCATCATCTGACATTTTCATTATGTTTCTATTTATTTGTTTATTATTTTAATCATCATTCATTTAAATTATTACGTTTAATAAATTCGTTTAATTATACCAAAATTGAGCATCGGTTGAAGTTTTTTAAACATTACGTTATCAGCACCATTATTGCCTACGACTAGGTGCTCAACGTTTTTTGGTACAATTTGATCGAACGGACGAATGCGAACGATGAGAAAGAATTAAGGACGGAAGTGAGCGAACGGATGGAGGCGAATAAACGAAGCGACTAACGGACGACGGTACTATCGATCAAACAAACAACGACGTAAGCAACGAGCGGACGAACGAATAACGAACGAACGAACGACGACGCAACGGATCGATAGTAAATAACGAACGAACGAACGACGGACGACGACGTAACGGATCGATAGTGAAAAACGACGAACGACGGACGAAAATAACGAACGAACGAATTAACGACGGACGATAACGAACGATAATAACGAACGAACGACGACGAGAACGAAAACGCAACGATCGAAAGTAAAGACGAGACGAACGAATAGCGACGACGACGATATTGACGGACGACAAGGACGAAAAACGTAACGATAAATAACGGTTGAATCAGCGACGACGTAACGTAACGATAAATAACGGTCGAATAAAACGACAATAACGAATCGATAAAGACGATAATGACGAAACCCGGTGGTCAGAATGGTGATAAGGCTGGGTCAACGAAAGGAAACCTGGTGGTCGAAATCAAGGAACTTGTTTCCAGTATACGAATAACGGAAGTTCGAATGTTCAACCAAGGCATCGACGTAAATCATGGCGATATCAAAAACATGTATGAAAAATATTATCAGCTGTGTTGTACAATAATCGAAAATGATAATATCGACAAAGAGATCGAAAGTAAATTCAATGACGCCAGAGAGAAGATCGACATCATTTTCAAATATAGTAAATTAATCATGATCATCGAACAATATCTTGAAAAGCGAACATGGACGTACAACGACGTATTAATGATTGACGAAAAATTACCTGATTTAAAGGCTATATCGTTTAAATATCCGTATATCATCACCGACGTCGATAAATTGATCGAACGAATAGATCGGATGAAATCATCAATCGATTTCACCAAAAGTGCTGAATCAACATCGATAACGAGTGAAAATCGTCGATCAATTAACGATAATAACAATGTACCGCTGCTTGACGCAATCAATCGTCAGCAAGTACCGTCGACATCATCGAACGATCAATATCGAAACGACCAACCACAACGATTATGGTGGGATTACGGAAACGACATCAATACATGGTCAGGAGGCGTAAAAGTGGCAGCAAAGAAATTGACTATGTACAACGGAGAACCTTTAGATTATCATAAATTCAAGAAATCGATTATGCATTACATTATTGATAATACGCAAATTCGAGGTAATGCAAATAAGTTGATGGAAATAATTGATCTGTTGCCGTCAAAAGATCGATATATCATTGAAAGTCTGGATCCTCGAACAACGACAATGACAAGCGTGATCGACGAATTAGATGAATATTATGCAAATCCGAACCGGTTAATTCCAGCAATAGTAAACCGAATAAAACGGGCTCCATTTATATCGTTGCGTCCATCAGAAAAGGATTGGGAGGGGATGCTGGAAGTGATCATATTGACGCGTAACACATTGATGAATGCCGAATTGACTGCTGAAGAACGAAGCATGGTGGGCATATTGTTACAGAAAATTGATCGAGCACATTTTATGCAGATCGGTGATCGACGTGCAATGACACTGAATCAAATACTGGAATTTGTCAAAACTGGTTTGGATCGTGAACGTATGGCTAATTCACAGATCGCTGCAAGTGAGTTAGCATCCAAACCAACGAATAAATCGCAAGGTACGTATCAGCGACCGACAGGAAATGTAATGATTGCAACACCGGGTAATGCTTGTATGTTTGGTGATGGAAAACATCGTACCGCCGAGTGTCCATTATCGTATAACGAACGACGTCAAATCGCTATCGATAAACGTTTGTGTTTTAGATGCGGAGGTGGTGGACATAATAGCCGTGATTGTCGACGAGAATTTCAATGTCCGATATGTGGTAAAAATCATATTCAGCATCTTTGTTATGACGTCAAACAATCATCGACGAAAACGAATATCGAATCGAACGTTAATCATCATGGAACGCCGAAACAAATGGCAACATCATCGAATGAAAATAACGAATCATCATCATCAGCAGTATTATTGACGAATGACGGTGTCAGTTTGTTCAAAACAATAACGACGACAATCAATGATCGATCTGTTCGAATAGTATTGGACGACGGATCGTGTAGATCATTTATATCGAAACGTTTGGTGAAGTTATGGAATTTGAAAACGAGTGAAATTGAACCGATACGGGTAGAAACGTTAGGTCAATCTTCATTTATGGGCGAAAAGTCGGTATCACTGCCAATACCTATATGGAACGGCAAATACAACAATCTAGACTTCCGTATCAACGACAATATTAATCGGTTACATTTCGAATGTATATCGCATGATCAACAACGAATATTACGTAATCAAGGTATCGATATAATGGATCAACCAGGTGTCGTAGATATTTTAATCGGGTTAGATCATATCAACAAGATTCAATTGAAGGAAGAACAACGAATATCGGAGAACGTAGTGGCCAAACGAACGACGTTGGGATGGATCGTTTATGGTTCAGCAGAATCAGTGAACGTATTTTCCACATCGAATGATCGTAATGAAAGTGAATCAACGCCGAATGGTAATATCGACGAAGCAACGAACAAGATGGTGACGAAAAATATTGATAATTATGGTGAACGTGACTCAAGTCATGGAAAATCGAGAAGAAGTGCAGTTAATCTGCTAATTATCGAGAATACAGAAGGTGGTCGAGATTATTACGATGATGAACGTGAAGGTATCGAAATTAACCAACGTATCGATGAGGACCAACAATACAAGAATCAATTATCGGATGACGGATTAGAGATGAACAATGATGATGCGATTGAATCAGAATTGGTCACGAATCAAGGTGTAAAAATATCGGATGACGAATCGGACAATTTGAACAAATGGCAATTGGCCGAAGTAGAATCGATTAATACCGGACATGGACGAATAGCTGAAATAAAGCATGGTACCACCAATGGTCAACGGGTGAGTTATCCATTATCATTGTATAATCCGTGTGTTAGGTCACTAGCCTGCACGTTGGAATCGAAAGCGGATATACACGAATCTTTGATACAACAATCGAGCTGGGACGTTGAGATGATCGTGAAGGATAATCAATTTGTGATGAAAATTATCGATGACGTAAAACAATTGGACGAAGTGCTGGTTTCTCGATTTATGTTGAACGAAAACATGAACGAAAACATTGATTTAGTCAGGTCGGGTGATGTAAACATTATCGTTACCGGAATTGTACATGTAATTGATCGAAAATTATTGAAAGTAATTGATTGTAAATCTAAATTGTGCAATCATCGTAAAAAATTATTGATGTTATCGTATGGTTCAAATATTGCTAAATCGTTAGAAGAAATCGTTCGAGACAAGTATGGTGAAGAGGATCCAGGATCCAATAAAATTTATCGTATCGATAGTGACGAAGCATTGGAAATAGAAGCAACGAAAATTTTATTGATCATCGACGAAACATTTATTATGAAATACGGCGTATTGGATATCGATTTTAATCAAGAACGTATTTACGACGTATGGATTTTATCAATCAATGCAGAGTCCGACGATTGGAAGTTAATTATAGATACGGAAGCGGACGCATTGAAGTTTTTATTTAAATTAAACATAACGTATCGCCCCCTGGAAGCTGTTTCAGAAAGGGGGGAGGAAATGGTTAAAAAATAAGCAGCTGACAGGGTTTGTCAGCAATCAGATGGCACGATACATGCGTAGTGCAACATCTTAGAAATGCCGCCAAAATTATGGGGTATAAAAGTCAGCAAAATATCACACACCACAGCGTTCACATCATCGTTT